AATCCTGCAGAGCTGCAGAGCTTCAGCTATGGCCCTGGCCAGTGTGGGCCAGTGGCTAGAGCTTTGGCTCAGGCACCGAAGGGTCGCGGGTTTGATTTCTGGTCCAGGGTGCATGCTTGGAGTTTTTTTTTTTTTTTATGAAAAGTATGGGAATATCTGCAATCAGGTGAGATCCCGAGACTCTGTATACCAGGTATATGGCCACCTGGTCTCCGTCCTGACTGGCAGGGAGAGTCGGGCTGAGGAGAGGGGGCTGGTCTGTAACATGCTCTGCTCTGCTGTGCAGCCAGACGAGTCTAGAGGAGACAGGGAGACAGACTTGCCCCTCGCAGCAGCAGAGAAAGCCATGTGTCTGAGCTAGAGCAGGAGTGACCAGTATATTGTCCATTCAGAGGGCCTGTACACTGCACGGTCCCAGATAACGTGCTGGTTTCTGCCTCGGAGGTTTCCAGCCGTACGAGGGAGACCAGGTGGAGGCGGAGCACTGGGTCTGGCCGGGCATGAGAGGCAGCGAGACTGTACCTGTGAAGCTGCTGAGGTGCCCGTGTATGGACAGGGTAGGTGCTGACCCTCACTCGTCCCGGGTTCTCCTTGGCCTGAGGAGACTCCATGTTCTTTCTGAGAATGGTGTTTCCTTGAGGACATCATTGGAGATGGCCCTGGTGTGCTGTTGTAGCTAAGTCCCAAGTTGAGTACTTTACCCAGAAGTACTCCATGTCCTGATTATGGGCAGTGAGTGGAGTGGGGTTCAAGACTTGGCCTTGCTCGTAACACCCGGTGTGGTTTAGGGCATGCAGGCTGGCACTGCGGTAGGGGTGGCCACGTGCCTGGGGCGCTGGCTCTGAGGTCCCCGTGCACTGCCGTCACCTTCAGGGCATGGCCTCTGCTCCGAGAGCAGGGTCCCCACCCCCCTCGAGATGCCCCGTCATCTTGGGTCGTGGGGCCCAGGCGAGGTGAGGCCGTGGTCACCGGGCCTTTCTGTTCTGGGGCCAGCCGGGGTGGGCTGGTTGGGAGAGGCTTTCTGGACCCTGTACTCGCAGGTCTGCATTTCCAGCCTCTGTGCAAGAAACAGGGTGATCGAGGATGATCTCTTTTCCACCTTGGACTCTCTGAAGCTTCCTGAGGGGTACGTGCTACGTGGGGAGAGCCTTGTGCGTGACCTCGGTGAAGAGGTGGTAAGGGGACCCGCTGCTGGCTCCAGGGAGGGGAGGCCGGCTCAGGTGTGCTTAGACGAAGCCGAAAGCTGGCCGTCCACATCCCAGGTGGCGCGATGGTTGGAGGGAGGGCATCTCCTGGAGGGTATTCATGGTCCTCCTGCTTCATCAGCAGTGGAGTTCAAGTCTTCCTCTCGCCCTCAGTCTGACCTGGGTGGTTTGCTTATCTGGTGGGCTTTATAGCTTGTTCTTTACCCCGTTGGCTTTCTGTAGGACACACTGGACATAGTGAGTTCTTAAATGACTGAACTTCCCGTTCAGTGTCCTTGTGTGGTGCCCTGGTGGCCTCCACCTCCAACAGGCATGTTCGCAAAGCACAAGGGGCTTCCCACCATGAACAACAGCTGCCCTTTCCTCTGCCCCCTCCATCTGCTTTTCCTCCTTAGCATTTCTTTCCAGTGAGCTCCCTCCACAGGGTCCTTAATTACTCCATCGATTGTCTCGCCTCCCCACTAAAACAAAAGCTCGTTTTCTGCCGCATATGGAACACCTGGTTTTGTGTCGGAGAACTTGGGAGCGGCTCTAGGAGGGGCAGAACGGCAGGGATAGACTGACTGCCCCCTCAGGCCGTGGGCGTGGGGTGAGGCCAGCCTGGCACTGTCCTGTCCAGTTGACAGGTTGAGATAGCCTGGGGAGTGCGTGAGTTTGTGTGGGGCTTGGGGGTACAGCCTCTTCCCATTGTTGCACTTGGGGTACAGGGTGTGTTCGCACGGTGCAGATGAGGACAGGTAGGTGGACCTGTGGTGCCCCGGCCACTACTTCACCTGGCTGGTCTCAGGGTGACCCTCCCACATGGTGACCCTTTCCCGTTGCTCCCACCACCTCTTGTATTCCTGACAGCCCTGCCCAGCCCCCGAGACAGCCCATGACCCACAGGGGCACCCAGAGGCACTGGTCAGCAAGAGGTCAGCAAAACGTGGCTGGTGTGGCCTTCGAGGTGTCACAGCACACGACACGAGTGTCACTTGTGTTTAAGGCAGCAGGGTTGGTTAGCTACCTGAAGCCCATTTGACGATGGGGCACCTTTGAAGAATGAAATCAAGAAGAACAACAACAACGTTGTAAGCCCGGCCGGTGTGGCTCAGTGGATTGAGCGTAGTCCCATGGGGTGAGAGGTCCTGATTTCATTCCCAATCAGGGCAAGTGCCTGGGTTGCAGGCTCGATCCCCAGTAGGGGGCGTGCAGGAGGCCACCGGTCGATGTTTCTCTCTCACAGCGATGCTTCTGTCTCTCTCTCCTTTCCCCTCTTAAAAGAAAAATCAGCCCGGCCGGTGTGGCTCAGTGGTTGAGCGTTGAGCCACGCACCAAGAGGTCGCCGGTTCGATTCCCAGTCAGGGCACAGGCCCAGGTTGTGGGCCTGATCCCCAGTGGGGGGCATGCAGGAGGCGGCCAATCAATGTCCTCTCTCATCGATGTTTCTATCTCTGCCTCTCCCTTCCTCTCTCTCTAAAATCAAGAACAAAAATTTTTTAAACATCAGTAAAAACCTATTTAAAAAAGAAAGAACGACAACATTGTCTGCCTTTGCCATGTGGCTGGGAGATGTGGGGACTACCCAGACTTTAACTGGGTGTCACTCAAGAATGCTGCAGGTAAAAAAGGAAGAAAGAAAGAAAGAAAATCTCTAAAAAGAAGTTTTAAAAAAAAAAATTGGCTGCCAAAACAACCTGACCTGTGCAGATGTGATGGCATTTCACAGCTTGTCCTGTGCAGTGTGAATGCTTACCCTCTGCTATAGTCACTGATGGCTTAGCTCAGGGACCACTCAGAACCCACTGGGGGACAGGTACTACTTACTTCCTTCAGTATTGGAGAATCCTGAAGTTCAAATCACATGTCGCCCAGCAGCAGTTTAACATAAGCTATCGTGGGCTTTTACTAACTTGCAGGCTCCAGCTGAAGGAAAAATCTCTTAAAGGAGAGTGTTTCGTGGCTCTCAGACTCTGGGGTTGGACCATTGTTTGAATCCCTGAACTTCTACCGGGGAGCTGTGTGACCTGGGCCAGTCTCTTAACGTCTTTGAGCCTTGGTGGCATTTGGAAAGTAACAGTCCCTCCCGCACGTGGTAGTGTGGCCTATAAAACGTGCAGTGTCTGGCACAGAGCAATCCGTAAGTGACCATTCGTCGTTAGTCTCTAAAGGGGTGTGCTCTGGGGGTGGAACCTAAAACACGGGGGTGAGAAGTTACCATGGCCTGCAGGCAGCGCTGCGTCCCGATGTTTGGGTTTAAATTACAGGAACTTTGAAGAACCCCTGGCTGTGGTTCGTGGTCTACCGAGCAATTTCCTAGTGATAATTGGTCTGACCAGAGGATCAGACGAATGCAGGTATTTTAATTCCCTGGTCAGTTACTTCTGTTGGAATATTAATAACTCTCACTGTCCGTGAATATCTCTGAAACAGGAGACATTCCTGTCATCAAGTTAGTGACCCAGAGTGCCTGCCCTGGTTGGAGCAGGCACCCTTGGCACTGCAGTGTCTGCACTGGCCTGACCCCCGGCACGGTCCAGCTGGGCAGGCTCCATGGGCCCTGCGCGTCTGCCCTGTCTTTGCTTCCCTCCCAGGACAGGGTGTTTATCTGTTCATGCCGAGGACCCCGCTGTGCCAGGACCTCCTTCCTCAGCTGAGTTTGCAGCCACCCTAGGCTCTAAGCAGACACGATCTGTTCGCTCAGCCTTTGGAGGCTGTGGTCAGAGGGAGCGTTCAGGCCATTTACCTGAATGTGTGTAGGGGAGGTGATCTGTCCCCTTCTCTTGTTCACGTTAGTAATTAATGCTTTGCTGTCACTTACTGAATGCCCTCTGCTTTCCACATACACTTCACACGTGTGCTCTCATGCAGTTTGGCCCCACACTCATGGGAGAAAGGTGCCCCCGTTTCTCAGTGTGAGGTGATGGCCTCTCTGGCGCTGCTGCAGCTGCTGGCTCTGAGGTGTCCTGGGGCATTCTTGCTGGGGAGCTGAGCTGAGCTAAAGGAACTCACACGTGTGGTGACCGTTCGAGGAACAAGGAAGAGGGTACTCCCGTCCACTCAGACGCAAGCGAGCAGAGTGAGAGAGAACGGGGCAGGGCCGGTGCCGGGGCCCGACCTAACTTGCCTCAGGTAGCACCTGTCAAGTGACAGAGACCACCGCACCATTTGACACTTGAACGTTCCTGCACTTCTCTAGTTTCTGTTTTCACACATTTCCCCCCTCCCACCATTATGTTGCCGCATCAGACTTGCCCACAGCATTAGTGATGCTCTTCCTGCCGGTGGCTGACTTGGTGACTCCCAATAACAGCCCTTCCCAGGGAAAAGCAGAGCTTGAGGTGACACTGACCTTCCCAGCGAACTTACAGGCTGACCACGGGAAAGGAGGACCCGGACGGAGCAGCTGTCACCAGCGTGTTCTGTGGCTGTGGCTGTGGGTCCCAGTGGTCCTGTCCTCATCAGCACAGCAGTCAGGGTTCAGTTTATCGGAAGCTTAAAAACAGTTGTTTCATACTGATTCCAGGGATTCTTGAGTATCCAGCCCCATCCTCCTGCTGCAAGTGAGGCCACTCTGCTCCCTGCTGTGTGGACTCTCAAGGACCTGGTGAGACCTGATGGGGAGGACAACCCCCAAGCTAAAATAAACCTTGGCACACTACTGACGTAGGCCAGCAGCTGATGTGTGTGTGTTACTTGTGGTGATTGAATGAACTTGGATCATTCTCAAACAGGAAAGGATGTCCAAGTAAAAATATCTTGTATCCGATGCCTGGGTGATTAAAAATAGTTTCTAACTGTGAATGTCTTTCTTAGGAAACTCAAGAAGACAACTTCCAAGTTTTTCTTCCACAGTGTGCAATGCTTGAGAGACTTAAGAACTGTGTGGAGCAAAAACCCGACATGCTGACTTTTCAGCCATTACTTGCAGAGGTAAGAAAAGTGTCTAGTGTGCAACACTGACTCATCACCACACTTGTGTTTTCTGACAAATCAGGAGGAACTGTCTCGGGTTCAGGCCTCAGGCTGGTTCATATTCACCCCAGGCAGCTGGGAATTTCAGGACGATGAGATGGGCCATTGCTGTGTTCCTATGGAGATAGGTGCTCATGTGAATAAGGCACCAGGAGGCGACCCACGTCCTGGGGCATTTTGGGGCGAGGGCAGGATGGGTGCCGGTCCCCTCTGCCAACAGCCCAGGCTCCTTCTGCTAGGCCTGTGGCCTAGCCTCTTAACAGCTTTCCATTCAAGGTAACCTCTCAGCAGCCCAGCAGAGGACCTGAGAAAAGATGACGCCTATGAGAAAGAACTGCAACCATGCAGACTGGTGTTTATGGGAGGGAGGCGGGGGGGGGGGGGCTGCAAAGTTGGGGGCTGGGAACTCCCTGCAGCAGCCTGAAAGGTTTTCATGCCTGAACTGGGGCCCTGGCAGCACAGCTCTCTTGAACTAACATGTGGGTTAGGGAAGAGCCCTGGGGCCGAGAATCTGATGCTGGTGCAGACACGGGTGTCTGTGAGCCTTTGAGCTTCTCAGTCCTTTAACATGTGCCCTGGTGCTGGGACGTGACCTTCCTGGGGAGAGTGGAAGTTACCAGGAGAAAGTGGCCTGTTCCTGTCCAGCAGTAACAAAATGTTGGTGGCAATAAACGTAAAAAGGGCTGTGTGGTGTAAGGCTCCAGGGTACTGAATCTTTAGAATTTGATAAATACCCCAAATTGTCCCTTCTGCCAGCGTGATGGAAGTGTCCCGATACACAGTTACAGTGCACACACCTCCCCGACATTTCCCGTGTGCTCTTCACCCCCCACCTGTCCCTTGTGATCTGCTTTTTGTCACCACTGGTTAGTTTCCTTTTCTGGAATTTCACATACATAGAATCAGACAGTATGTACTTTGTCTTGGCTCGGCTCCTTTTACTCAGCATGATTACATTAACTTGAGATCACCTGTGTGCTGTGTGGTAGCTGAATAACGGACCTCTGAGGGTGTCCCTGCCTCTCGCCTGTCACCCAGCAAAGGGGCTATTTTGCCAATGGGAAGAGATTAAGGCTCTTGTGATGGGGGGATGGTCCTGAGTCGCCGGGGCGGGGGGGGGGGGGTTGCTAATAGAACCACCAGGATCCTCAGGGAGGCGGGAAAGCTAGAGGCAGAGAGGACTCACAGTTTCACTGCTGGTTGTGAAAGTGGCAGAAGGGGCCACAAGCTACAGAAAGTGGGCTCCTGTAGAAGGTGCAAAAGGCCAGGAACAGATCCTTCCCTGAAGCCTGCAGAAGGAACCAACCCTGCCCACACCTGGATTTGAACCCAGTGAGACTTCTGACCTCCAGAACTGTAAAGTAATCTGCGTTTAACCAGCCCCCGCCACAAATCTGTTACAGCCGCAATAGGAACGAACATAATCTATATCTTTGTATGAGCAGTCCTGCTTTTCATTGCTGTGTAGTCAGTCATTCTGCAAATACATCCCAGTTTGTCTCTCAGCTTATCTATGGGAGCCCAGTGGCAGGAGACAGACACCGAGTGACCCAGCGTACGATTCCATGTGTAGGAAACATCTGGAGCGGAGGCAGTGCCTGCTGGCAGCTGCTGGTCTGTAGGGAGAAGGGGGAACGCTCACGGGCTCGGGCAAAGACCGAGTGCTCTGAATGCACTGAAATCATGCTTACTGTAACATGATTCATCTTATGCGAGTTTCAGATGCTTTCCCTATGTGGTTTTTCTGTTTTAGTCTTTAATGTGGTGAATTACCTTGATTGATTTTCAAATGTTAAACCAGCCTTCTGTTCTCTCTCTCTCCTCTCTCTCTCTCTCTGTCTCTCTGTCCTCTATCTCATACACACACACGCACACACACACACACCAGAAATTGGCTTTGATTTGCTAAACTCTGTGTCCACAAGGGAAGGATGCTGGCCTGTAGTTACATGGGTCCTGGCAGCCTGTCACTACTTGAGCCAGTTAAGCAAGACGAGGTGGAATTGTATATGAGCATTGATTCCAGTATTGCCAGCAGCGTGGGAGAGCAGTGGGTCATCCCGTAAATTCTGCTCTGCCCACTCTCACTTGCCAGCTGATTTTAAAGGGTAGAAAGGGCAGTAAGGGCAAAAGGAAAAAATGGGTAATATGGTTACAGGCAAGGGGAAAGGAATGTGGGCTGGGGGAGCTTCGGTGGCTGGTCGACAGTCACAGGCACCAGTCCGGTGTTCCGATCATCAGGTTGTTAATCTTTCCATGATGTCGCGCAGTCCCCCTTGTCCTCAGATTAGGAGAATGGACAGCACTTCTCAGACAAACTCCAGAGGCGTACACCTCCCAGCCAGGTCAGAATGGGCTTTTCTTTAATCAGCACAAAGCAATCACAATTCACACTGTAAAGGATGCTTAACATTTCTTGTAACTACGGCAAGCATGCTACTACACTTAGTTCTCTCTTCTATTCTCTCCCACCCCTTTCAACACCACATCAGGCTGATTGATGTCATATCGGGTTTGGAAGTGTTCCCTCCTCTTAACTTTCCAAAAAACTTAATGTAGAATTGGTATTATTTCTTCTTTAAATTCTTCTTTTTCTTGGTACGTGCCCCTAGCGGGAACCGAACCCAGGACTCTCGGTCCACAGGCCGACGCTCCGACTGCTGAGCCAAACTGGCCAGGGCTCTTCTTTAAATTCTTGATGAAATTTACCCGTGAGGCATTTGGGTTTGTGGTTTTCTTTCTTTCTTTGTTTTCAAAATACGTTTTTATTGATATTTTAGAGAGAGAGAGGAAGGGAGAGAGAGAAACATCGCTGGGAGAGACAAATCGACTGCCTCCTGCACACCCCCTACTGGGGATCGAGCCCACATCCCGGGCATGTGCCCTGACCAGGAATCTAAGCGGGACCTCTCAGTCCACGGAGCCACACTGGCCAAGCAGGTCTTGTTAATGGAAATATTTTTAATTAGGAATTCAGTTCTTTAGTAGTGATACGGCAATTCAATTTCTCTCTTTTGAGTGAGGTCTGGTCGTTTTTATCCTTAAAGGACTTTGTCTATTCCGTCTAAGTTGTCTATTTGCATAAGAGTGCTTATAACATTGGTTATAAGTGTCTGTCTTTCTTTCTTCTTGATCAGTCTGGCTATAAATTTACATACATTGTGATTAAACTCCCAAAGAACCAGCCTTTGGTATTATTGATTTTTCCCCTTTTTTTCAGTTTCTTTTCAGTGATAGTCACTCTGATCTTTATTATTTTCTTTTTTCTGTTTACTTGGTTTTACTTCCTGGTTTGTTTGTTTTTTGTTTTTTTTGTTTTTTTTTTTTGTACTTTCTAAAGGAGGAAGGTAGCCCTGGCCGGTGTGGCTCAATGGGTTGGGAATAGCCCCGTGCACCAGGAGGTTGCTGGTTCGATTCCCAGTCAAAGGTTCATGCCCATGTTGCGGGCTCAATCCCAGGAGGCAGCCTATCGATGCATCGCTCTCATATGTATGTTTTTCTCTCGCCCTCTCCCTTCCTCTCTCTCTAAAATCAATAATCCCTTTCTAAAATAATAAGGGAGGAAGGTAGTCATTGAGTTGAGATCTGTCTTCTTTTCTAACACAGGGTTTTAGTGCTAGAAATGTTTTTCTAGGTGCTATTTAGGTGCATTCCACAGGCTTCGCTTGGTTTATATTTTCATTTAGTTCAAAATATCGTGGGAGAGAGGAAGGGAGAGGGAAGGAGAGATAGAAACATCGATGAGAGAGACCATCCGTTGGCCGCCTCCTGCATGCCTCCCACTGGGGATTCGGCCCACAAGCCTGGGCATGTGCCCTGACTGGGAAGTGTACCGCTGACCTCTTGGTACAGGGGTGGATGCTCAACCACTGAGCTGCACCGGCTGGGCTGCTCTATGATATTAAGGTAGCTCCCATGCTTGCCTTAGATTAGAGTTCACCTGACGTATCGTTTCCCAAGCTTTTGCTTTAACGTATTTGTGTCTATAGTGTATATGTAAAGCAGGTTTCTTACAGAAAGCACCTGGTTTGGTCATGCTTTTTATCCATCTGATAATCTCTGCCTTTTGATTGTTGTGTTTACAGAACTTACATTTTGTGTGATCGTTGATATGATTTGGTTTAAATCTACCACCTTGCTCTTTGTTTTTTTATTTGTTCATGGTTTCCTTTGTCCTCTTTTATTATTCCTTTTATCTCCTTTCTTGGCTGATAAGTCTTTCTTTGTAGTGTGCACAGTTGCCTCGGTGACTCCTGATAGGGCTCTGTGGCAGGGCTTTCTGCCTCATAGACATGTGTGTCTGGGCCTGACGTGGGAGCCACTGAGGGTGTGAAATGTGCCTGGTTTGCCCCATGAACTGAATCTTGAACGCTCTTTCATTGCAGTTAATTTCAATGCAAATAGCCACAGGTTTAGAGCTTGAGCCCTCAGCCCATCAGCTATAGGAAGAGGTACCTTCCAGTTGTTTCCTTGGGTCTTTGCTCATGTTGTCCTGAGTGTGACTTCTTGTATGTTTTGCACTCCATATTGCATTTTACCATTTTGACTTCACTTAATCAGTTATCTTTAAAGGCATTTTAGATGATCACTCCTACGCTGACCACACAGATATCATTCCTGGTGCTCGTAGCCCTGTGTGGGTCTCTCTCTGCTGAAGGACTTGAACACCTCCTGGGTGCTCATTGGCTTTTATGTCTGGAAAAGTCTTTGAGGACACTGCCCACTGTTCCCGGCCATGTTTCTGATGGGACATCTGCTTTCCTTCTGAACCTTTGCTCTTTGTCACATGGGGTGTACTTTTTCCTATTGCTTTTAAGATTGTCTCTCTCTCTCTCTTTAAAAACACTTATCTCATGTTGTGGCGTGAGAGAACTGAGAGCCCACCAGAGCCAAATTAAAGCCAAATAGAGAGCAAAGCCGGCCGGCGACTGATCCCGAGTTCTCAGAGACCAG